AAAAAAATTAGTTCATAGATAAGTAATTGCCAAAAGCCCCCATTAACTTCAAATGCATTTCTGTCGTATGTTCTATGACAGCTCAGAAAAGCTTTCTAATGCAGAGAGAGCCAAAGTAACTGAAGCAAAAAAAAAGTTCTGTACCCTGAAATTTCTAGTTCCAGATTTTGTCAAGGCCCATTTCCTTCCCCCAGAAAAGATCAGTGTCTTTAGAAATGGGGAAAGGTATGGCAAGATATCTTAATTGTTTGGACTCCTCTATCCTGTGTGTAACCTGAAGTAAGTCCTACTGAGTTCTGGTCTGGACAAACGCACAGTACTGGTAGAGAATCGAGTTACTTCCTCCTTCAGAGTACACTTCCTGGGGCCTCTGCTCCCATCGATGCTTCTCACACACCCAGATTTTTCTTTTCAACTGATGGAGCAGATAGTTGAACTTGCTGCTGTTTCTCCATTTGCTCCCGGAACTGCTGCTGCAACTGTTTTTGCCGGAGCTTCCGCTGATACGTGGCGTCACTCTCTGCAGCAGAGGTCAGGCTTCTGCATCAGAACAACAGCAAGGTGGGAGTGAATTCCTGAGTTAACTGAATGAATAATACAGAGTTCCTGAGGGAGCACACAGACCAACTTGCTGGCTCTGAAGGCAGAAATGGAGATAACTTAGACCACAAGAGGAGGCAGAAGAGGAAAGAGAGGGAACTTAGGCCCCATACCGGGAGCTGCTGTCCTTATCCCCCTGTATCACAATGTGGGGATCATCCGAGTGGCTCGGTCTGCAAGGGGAGGTCACCTCCTGTGGTTTGGGGGGTCCCGGAGCCATGCTGTGTCGGTAGCTGCTGTATCTCGCTTGTTCCACAGATGGTTCAAAATCTTGTCTCTTTGCTTTAGTTAAATCCACTTCAAGAGGCAACTAATGACAGAAAGGAAGGGGTAGGGGAATAACTTCCACCAACTGCTCTTCCCTTTCCTTTCTTTTCCCTGTCTGAAAGATCTAGATTCCTAGAAAATGGCATTTGACAATCCTCTATCCAGCATTCCTTCTAGGTCCTGAGAAGCTGAGACACAAGATCCGACACTTCAAGCAGATTTTTAATTTTATGAGGAAGAGCAAAAAAATTTCCTTTTCTACTTTGTATCATTCGGTATTCATGAAATTTTGATAAAAAGGACTCTCTATTTTAGCCTTGATTTAGGATAAATGGCCTGTAAAATCGAATATGAATCTTTCCTTGGCAGTTAGATCTGTCTGGTGATGTCTACCTATT